TAAAGAACAATGTATGATTTACAGATATGCTTTGAATATTAAAATATATTCCGGTTCATAGCCATTTTCATACACCACATCAATTCTAAATACATTTATGATATAATAAGGGAGTATTCTTCCAGTTTGTATCTTAAAGTTTTCTCTTTTTTTATTTGCAAAGTTCAAAGTAGTTACAGTCTAGGACTTGACAGAAAAAAAGCTATTAATTTAATGTATCTATAATTGATCACAAACCATATTATAATGTGTATATATATACACTATATATTATATAAATTATATGTTATATATATATGTAGTGTTTGGCATTGGTTCCAAAGACACACGTCTTCTCTCATTTCCTGTTTTATGGCTAACGCGTGTTCGATGTTCCCCACACGCTGAGCTACTGTAAACTCTCCATCTGAACATTTCTCCTCAGAAGCCCCGCGGTCGGAGGCCAATCCAGTCCAGGTCGACAGTTCAGTGAAGTGGTTGTTTGAGCGCCGGGGCAACACGGCCGCTTTCCCAGGTCAAAATGTAGTGTACTACTAAGAAATGCAATAAAAAGTCAAAATCAAGAATACTTGTATCTGTTTGTTCTTCATTTAAAGCATATTTAAAATGTACTTAAACAGTGCGTACTTCAACTAATTCAGAAAAAGGAGAATGGGAGGCTGGTTTCCTCGTTGGAAACTCAAAAAGGTCCACTGGGGCACCTTGCTGGGGTAAGCACACCGAAGCATTTACATCCTCCGTTCTAGCCTGAGTGCCGTTGTTTTCTGATCTGTGCTTTACAGATCAGCTTTACGGGATGCGGTATTAACCCGGCTCAGTCCTTTGGGCCTGCAATTCTACAGGACTCCTTTGATAACCATTGGGTATGCATCAGGGAGCCGCAGGTCGCGTTGACACAAGTTCTGCGACCCCGTTGAAGCGTGGATGTGTGTGTGGGTGGTTTCAGGTGTACTGGGCCGGACCAATGTGTGCCGGTGTGGTGGCAGCGCTTCTGTACGATTATCTGCTGGCGCCCAGAAAGGATCCCTGCGGTGAAAAAACAAGAGGCCTGCTCTGCCGTGGCTCAAAGCAGGAAAAAGACCATCGCGAGCCGCTTCTAGAAGAGGTTTCAGGAGAGTTCTGAGAAGAAATGACTGTGTGCGGCTGATTTTGTATAAATAAAACTTTCTCAACATTAGGAGTTTAGTCTTTTCTCTGATCTATTGCCCTTCCCTCACTTTCTGAAAGCGCCCCTCCATTGATCAGGCTGTAATTTATGGTTTGTGGTGTGGAAATAGATGGCTGCTGGTTCTTATCATAGCTGAGGAGTGAAAACTAAATTAATAGTATAAGTTGAAATGTCAGAAAATGACGACAAGGCATCTGAACGCCATTTTTGTAATACGTCAAATTAGAGTCAGCTTTGTTTGACGGACAAGGACGGACTGTTGATGTAACAGCGCCGCATTGTTTCATTATAACCAACTGCTCTCAAAATATGGGATGATCTTGTGCTGTTGCAGTGATAGTGAGTACGCAGGCACAAACACACACACACACACACACACACACACACACACACACAGATCTTAGCAACGACTTGTGCTCTGACAAAGTGCGGTAAGCCGACGCAGAGCAACTCTCACTCCTCAAAATCTGAACCTCTGACCGCGTCTCGAAAGGTCACAGGTCAAAGTGGCTGCTTCTCTTGAGTCCACGACCTCTGGAGAGCTCGAGGGGGCCTAACCTCTCAACCTTGACTGACCACTTAAAACTCATCTGAGCTCTGTCTTAAGCACTTTTTAGGCCTGTGTTGTTTAAAGCTGTGCACAGCTGACTGTTTTGACTCTCTGTGAACCTAAACCCAGACAGCAATCCAACATTGAATAAACATTGTTTTTCCATCTAAATCATCATTATGGTTGATATTGAAATTTCAATGCAAAATAAACGTTGAATCACCATTACCATATTGATGAAAACCTGATGTTATTTTGATGGAAACAATATTGGAACAACATTGATCTATAGTTATCTTTATGATTGAAAGTGCAATCCCTGAATGTGTTGAAACATAGTTGATAATGCATCGATGTATAGTTGACCGGGATTATGATTGAAAATCCATTGATTTTTGGTTGACCGGGAGATCAACGGGTGGTAAACCAACGTATTGCACGAGACAAGCTCATTTCTGGACCCTTGGCACAAGCGTAGCTACAGGTAAGCTTGCTTAATGTTCGATATGAATGAATCAAATACCGTTAGACTGATCATTGTAGTATAATCATTAGTGTAGTAACCAACGCAGTGCTGCAGCTAACGTTAGTCATGAAATAGATTTTTGTTTTACTAATGTGTTAAAATCTTTCAAAAGCAGGCTAGCCTACTTCGTGGTTCTCTTTACAGTTAGCAAAACCTCTGAGTCCAGTCTATTTTTATAGCTAGCTCAAAATACACGTCACTCGGTACCCATTGCTAATAGTGTCGGGAAATCTATTTTACAGTCACCGCTATTTCTTCTGCCCGCCGGAAAACACCATAATAACAGTGTGCTCCATCTAGCGCTAACGGTAACGTTCATCAAGCTAGCCTGTTGGCGGCGCCGTGCGCTCAAACCTTTGAGAAATCACGGCTGATTAGCACTACGTAGCCACCACCAAGGGCACAGAAGTCATGTCATGCACGTTTGAGCGCTAACGTTAACGTTACCCACAGAAGAATACATGACTTACCTTATTATTCAATGCAGAACTGTCTCGAGTTGTAACTGGAAAAGCCAACCATCTCGTCGTAATACAAATCGAGATGGCGTTACTATCCCGCACCCCAATCCAGTGCAAAACCCTTTCTTAAATGCTAATTGTTTTGCATTGTGATTTTATTTTTTTGTTTTAGATGCTCTTACTCGGCAGATGGGGGCAGCTGCCGTCACCCAATTCAATTTTTCCCAAGCTGTGCAAAAGGTCTATGCGCCAGACCGGAGAGGAGGGACTGGACGACAAAATAATGCGGCCGTCAGAGAATGAATTTGTGTTTAAATAGTGTGGTGTGTTCATTGTTTTATAGGCCGATTTCAAATGTTCCATTAGCCTACTTAACATCCTGGCTGTAGATAAAGCAGGCTATTTAATTTATGGCATTTAAAATTAACATATAAAAAGATTGAAATTCCGTTGAAATAACGTTGATCCTTAGTTCAGTTGAAATTTCAACATTGTTTCAATATTCCTGATAATTGAAATACCATTGAAATTCCGTTGATCTATGGACAGGATATCAACATTGTTTCAACATTAAATCAGGGTGCAAAATGATGTTGAATCAACATCAGAATTCAACGTTGATTCAATGACTTAGTGTTGACAATGCGATGTTGATTTAACATTGTTTCAATGACTGTTTGCTGTCTGGGAAACGTGCTCATTTCCAATGTCATCACCATTGTTGGGCGTATCCACCATTGACGCTTCTCCATCGAGTGACTCAGCGGTGCTAATTGTATTAGCCTTGCTAGCCAAGTTGACCTTAAAGCAGGGGTCTCAAACTCGCGGCCCGCGGGCCAATTGCGGCCCTCGGGACGATATTTTGTGGCCCCATCCTTAATATGAAAGTGTAATGTTAGTGCGGCCCGCAAGTTTTATACTGTAACCCCACTGTCAGCTGCTGTGTGGGACATGTTATGATGTTCTGGTTTCCTACTGTGTGCTTGTCCAGTGAACGTGGCATGCATGTGACTGACATGGGGGCGGGTCGTGTGTGTCGGCCGAGGTGCAGAGAGCAGGAGGGTGAAATGTTTCCTGCCCTCTTTCGCGCAGGTGATCATGTGACTAACCGTTAGCATCGCTCGTTTAATAAAGTTTTCCTTTACGACTCACACTAACAACACATGAAGCATCTGACGTCACCGACGAGCGTCTCCGTCCATTACTACGCAGCTTCGATTCAAGTAACTTCACGTTTGGCTATAAAGGAATTCCACGGTCACATGACCTTAGGTCTCCCCCGCTGAGTTAAAGGAGGACTAGTGTTGTAGTCTCATTCGGACCGATCCCCCAGGGTGGGGTTCAATGACTGCTTTTGAAAGTGAGTGTTAAGTTGTGTTATTGGTGACCATGCCGTTCGGACGCTAGTCTGGCCCGCGTTCAGTTGAAGTGGGCTGCATCTGGCCCGCAGCTGATTTGAGTTTGAGACCCCTGCCTTAAAGGTTTGGATACTATTCAGGCAGTCAGAACCCCGACGAGTGTAGGCTGTGAGATAAAAAACGGAGGGGTAACCCAGCAGCAAACAAGCTAGCATAATGGCCGGCTAGCTGCCGCGCGTCGTGGCCCTCCCCTTTTTACCTGCTACTTCTACCCTCCAATTCATCTCCACTGCCCCTCGTATGGATGTGGCCAGCGAGTGAGCCGCGTGGAGCTGCGGCCGTGACTCGCCGTTACATTAGAATCATTTAACGAGCTTTCAGGAGCTAAGATTGAAAAAAAGCTGCTGTTTTTTTATTTTTTTCCGCTCAAAGTGATGATTCTTATCATCCAGAATCCAGAAAACCATAAATATTGTTTTATAATTCAACCTCCATTCAAGGTTTTAGGAAATATTATTTGTCATGCTCATTTGTATGAGTAAAAGACATGATAAATATCAGCATCCTTGATTTCTCTCCTCTCTCCTCTCAAACGGTCAAAAATCCTAGAAGAACCAGACAACTACAAGCAGTGCTGTTGTCTTTTACTGGAATGGTTTCCATGGCAACGTTTCCGGGCGGCGACGGGGTGCTCCCATGGCAACTGCTTTGATCTCAGTGACCTCATCAGAGTGTTGACCTCATCATAGAGTGCTGACATCATCATAGAGTGTTATAAAGAGCTCTTGGAACCCAATCTCTTCATTGCGTTTCAAGCCGAGTTAGCAAGCAGTTGATATCTTGTGAGTATATAAGTTATCAGTTGCATTTGTCTTTCACGACCACGAAAAGTATTTTAAAACAGCAGTCCATTCTTGTACCAAGTATTCTTCATACAATGAATCGAGGAAACGGACATAGATATGGGACTGATGCCCCTCGGTGTGGCCCAGGCCCTCCACCGAAAACATACCATCTGAAACAGGCACTCACACGTGCCAACGAGGAGGTCTTCCGTCTGACCGAACTTGTGAAAGACCTTGAGTACTTCAAGACGGATGCTGAGATTGAGAAGAACAGTTTTTACCTTGTCATCAAAGATGGGAGATTGGCAACCGCCCGTCTGGAGAAGAGTCTGCAGACCGCCAACAAGAGGATCAAGACCCTGGAGGAAAAGATGGCCCAAGAACAGCTCGTCAGTCACCAGGAGAAGGAGCGGATGGTTCAAGAGCATGAGGACGAACATGCCGACCAAGTCATCAAGTACCTTAATCTCTTCAAGAAGAACGAGGAGTTGTCTCTGAGCCTCGCCGACGCCAAAGACGAACTCGTCACCAACGAGATCTGGCGAAGAAAGTACGAGGTTCTGGAGAAAAAGACCAACCAAGACATCGCCCTAAAACAAGAGGCACTGGAAGCCCTTCAGGTAAAATACCAGGGGATGGCCACCGAGGTTGAGAACCCGATGTGCCAGAAGACCAGTGAGACCCTGAAAGTCAACGAAGAGATGCAGTCCGAAAACCTCCACCTGCTGGAACGTCTGAGAGTACAGGAGGAAAAGATGGCTGAAGTCCAGCTCATCAGTCACCAGGAGAAGGAGCGGATGGTTCAAGAGTATGAGGCCAAACTTTCCGACCAAAATATCCAGAACCAGGCACTGGAAGCCCTTCAGGTAAAGTACCAGGAGATGGCCACCGAGGTTGAGAATCTGATGGTCCAGAAGCTGAGTGAGACCCTGAAAGTCAACAAAGAGAAAGAAAGCATCTTACATAAGCTGAGAGAGACTGAACAACAGCTCATCAGCGAGGAAGAGAAATTCAAAGATCTGGAAACAAGGGTGTGCAAAGAACTGAACCTCAAACAAGAGATGTCGGAGACCAGAGTAACACAACTGTACTCCGACAACCTTGCTCTGGAGGAGAAGTTGAACAAGCAGCAGGCCAACAACCACCAGCTGGAGGCAGAATACAAACTGCTAACGGACTGGAGGGATGGCATGGCTGACAAACAAAAGCACCAAGAGGAGAACAGATCCCTCAAACTCCAACAGATGGAGGAGATGACCAAAGAAAATCAGATTCTCATCACCAAGGTGAAACAGTTGCAGGACGAAAACACTCTTCTTGAAAACATCTGTCTGGACTTGAAGAAGAAGAAGAGAGGCATCTTTGGAAGAAGAATGCAGGAAAGACAGGTAGAGATGGACAAGATGAAGCAAAAAATGCAGGACCAGGAGACTAAGAGGTCCGAAAAAGAAGAGAAGAAGGGCCGTGAGGAGAAAAAGACCTTCCAGGGCTGAACACCACAGGCTGAACATCACAGACTGAACATCACAGAATGAACACCAGTAGAAACACATATACATACACACATAGTCACACACGTACACATAAGTACACATACACATAAATGCACATACACATAGTCATACACATAAGTACACAAAAAGTACACATAAATACACATACACATAGTCATACACATAAGTACACAAAAAGTACACATAAATACACATAGTCATACACATACGTACACAAAAAGTACACATAAACGCACATACACATAGTCATACACATAAATACACAAAAAGTACACATAAATGCACATACACATAGTCATACACATAAATACACAAAAAGTACACATAAATACACATACACATAGTCATACACATAAATACACAAAAAGTACACATAAATACACATAAATGCACATACACATAGTCATCTCCTCCATGAACCGCCACCTTAACGTGGTGGAGGAGTTTGAGTGGCTCAGTGACCCTGTGAGCGGTGTTGTCTCTTGGTATCCCAACAAGACCAACACCCTTCAGGCGAGAGTCCAGACTAAGAGCGGTTCAACAAACAAAAAAAACAAGAAGCCTGCTCTGCTGTGGCTAAAAAGCAGGAAAAAGACCATCGCGAGCCCCTTCTAGAAGAGGTTTCGGGAGAGTTCTGAGAAGAAATGACTACTTTATTTGTACCTCGGGAATTTGCCGTGCAGCTGTGGTAGAAGGTAACGGTAGTGTTGACTCCCTCCCACATACCCGATCTGGTTGATTCTACCTGCATGTTGGTTAAGCAGATGCGATGAAATAAGCCACTGTTTATTTGTGGGAGGGGGTTAAGAGGGCTTTGGATGCAGAATTTGTTAGCAAGTTACCAGGGGTGTAACGATTCATTCACTGAATCGATTAATGGATTTTAGTTGCGATCCAACTGAATCGATCTGTGCTCCGCAAATCGGCATTCCGGACGACATATATCGATTACAAATCGATTGAAATGGTAATTATTCAATTGTATCGATACTTGGAAACCGCACATTGGATTTAAGTACAAAAACGGTATGGATGTGTGTTTGTTTGTTTGTTTTTTAGCACTTTAGACACGTTAAACGTTACTCGATTCAGTCTGCCTGTCTGCGACGTCATCAGTACGCAGCCGGAGCCGTGATAAACTCTGAACAACAACAAAACACAGCGTGGAGGAGACGACTGCGAGCAAGACATTTACAAACCAACTTATCGATCCAGCGCATGGAAACATTTGGGCTTTTGCAAACACGGAGGTGTTCTAAATAACTCGGTCGCTGTTTGTAGAATATGTAGAAGCTAAATAAAAAAACACAGAAAAAACACAACACGCCGACAGTCAGGCACCTCTAGCAGCGTCACCGCTGCAGCAGCAGCAGCAGGTAACTCCAGCTCTGCTGACACCTCAGGCCTCGCCAGCACCAAACTCAACATCACAGTAACACTTGCCAGGTTTATCTGTAAAGACATGCGACCCTACAATGTGGTTGAAAATCTGGGGTTCTGTAAATTGATCCAAGCATTGTGTAATTATTGTGGAATGTTTACATTGAAAATGGCACTTGATTCAAATAAAAAGGTTAATACATTTGACATTAATTGTTGTTTGCTTGTTTATAATATCCATAATTGATTTAAACCTGATTTCCTTACAAGAAACAACAGGGATCTCGGAAACTTTGCCTGCACTGTCCAGTAAAGTTACTGAATCGATTTCAAGTCACTGAATTGAATCGAATCGTTCTAAATTAACCCAGATCGTCCATGAATCGAATCGGCAACCATGAATCGCGATTCGAATCGAATCGTTGTTAAAATGAATCGTTACACCCCTACAAGTTACTATTCACATCTATTGGCGCTGCTTTCGTTATGAATAAAAGGTGGCAAGAGCTGAAGTTCACGCCTTGGCCCTTTGCAGCTGTAAGCGCGGGTCGACTAGAGACCGCTGTTCTTTTGTCACGATTTAAGACCTGTCCTCCGCGGTTACATCGTTTTGCAGGGTGTGTGTCAACAGATCAGAAAGTGTGCGCAGCAAAGCACAACTTCGATAGCAGCTACAAAGGTGTGAGACTTGGGAATAATTCTTATAGGCGTAAAACGGGGTCAGTATCAACAAATCCAGCACGTCTAAAGATGTAATGCATCCGAAGGTAATCTAAGGTCGCCCTGGGATTGCGTCAATAGCCTGTACGATTCATGCATGAATGGATAAGCTAACCCCACATTTTATTCCATGGATATAACCTGTTGAATAATTTACAGACTGTTTCCCTGCTTGTATCAACCGAACACCGTTGCAGGTGTACTGGCCGGTGCTCATGTGTAAAGACTTCAGTGTACAGAAGAAAGTCCTGCTGAATGGATTAAAACGATTGCAGTTAAAATAAGTGGCGAAGACAACAGCCCAGAGCCAAGTCAGTGGCCTACTAAAGAACAATGTATGATTTACAGATATGCTTTGAATATTAAAATATATTCCGGTTCATAGCCATTTTCATACACCACATCAATTCTAAATACATTTATGATATAATAAGGGAGTATTCTTCCAGTTTGTATCTTAAAGTTTTCTCTTTTTTTATTTGCAAAGTTCAAAGTAGTTACAGTCTAGGACTTGACAGAAAAAAAGCTATTAATTTAATGTATCTATAATTGATCACAAACCATATTATAATGTGTATATATATACACTATATATTATATAAATTATATGTTATATATATATGTAGTGTTTGGCATTGGTTCCAAAGACACACGTCTTCTCTCATTTCCTGTTTTATGGCTAACGCGTGTTCGATGTTCCCCACACGCTGAGCTACTGTAAACTCTCCATCTGAACATTTCTCCTCAGAAGCCCCGCGGTCGGAGGCCAATCCAGTCCAGGTCGACAGTTCAGTGAAGTGGTTGTTTGAGCGCCGCGGCAACACGGCCGCTTTCCCAGGTCAAAATGTAGTGTACTACTAAGAAATGCAATAAAAAGTCAAAATCAAGAATACTTGTATCTGTTTGTTCTTCATTTAAAGCATATTTAAAATGTACTTAAATAGTGCGTACTTCAACTAAAGATGAATACTAACTGCAATACCTAAGACTTTTTCTTTGTAGCTTTTTGTGTACTTTCTTGAATGTGTTTTGCCAACTGTACTGGAACATTTCTGTATTGCGTGTGGTACTTTATCTCTGACCTCATAGACCTTCGCTCTTTGTGTTAGCGTAAGTGATCGAATGTATCCTGCCGTTGTCACAATGAAAGATTCACTCGGGCCTCCGTGCAAAGATGAATGGAATTGTGTCGTATGTGGAGGCTCAAGGCCGTTAGTCTGTTTGTTTCGGGTTGTTTCTGTACACAGTGTACTTTGAGTGTAACACTTGTAATGTTTGAAATTTATCGGCATGGTGTTATCACGCCCTTAAAGCCAAGACAATGCCTCCCCCACTTATGTTTCATTGTATCAACAGTGCCTTTGAAGACTAGAGAGGAGACTTATAAATGCAAATGCGTTTAGGATCAATTGGTCATTTTTGTCACTTTGTTTGGATCCCCCTCTTTGTGTTTCACGGATGTTTCCCATCTCTGAGCGCATCTACTCGGGCGATTCAGCACCAGAAGAATGTTGTTATTCACGAAGTGGTCTATTTAATTATGGGACAAATAATCTGTGACAATGTCACCATGAATGGATTTTAAATGGAGTGTTTGTTCATTTGTTTTTATTTCTGTTAATGTTTTAACGTACTTGATACATAGGAAATTTTACCTGACTAATATCAGTATTTTTGGATGTATCAGTCGGAGCTGGTAGATGTGGGAAAGGGAGGTTTGGGGTCCCCTGCTGGAGCTGTTCCCCCTGCAACCCGACCCCAGATGAGCGGTTGGAGATGAGATGAGATGAGATTGGATAGTATCCACGTGTTTTGATTGCATATGTTTAAATGAATAAATTAGAGGACAGCATCATTGTGTACATATGATGTATGTGGGAGTCATTTTCGTAGCGTTAATGGTGTATAACATTAGTACATTTTTAGTGCAGTAATGATGTGCTCATGGAAGTGTACTCAAATAAAGAGCACTTCAGTGAATTGTCTTGTGTGGTGATCATTAACACCATGTTTGTGTCCCAAATACTTTTTACAATGGCTTTTGCGGTGGTAAAGGTCTATATGTTGTTATTTTGTCGGGTCCAAGTTCCACTTATTGCATCACTAGTGAGGTGAAATCTGTGGTGGAAAATAACTGATATTTAACAAAAACTTTAATGCAACATTGAGCAGTAGAAATATAAATTTCCTTCAGAAAATGTGCTGGAACGCTGAATCCTGAAAGCTCAAATAACTAAAATACAGGAAGGAGAAAGTTACAGCATTAAAAAATGTTGAAGGACAAAATATTTAACTGCATAGCCTTCTAGTCATAATGTATAACTGGCAGAGAAGGAAGCTCAACAGTATTACAAAAGAGCTTAAGAGCTGAATTACAATACAGGAAAAGATGGAAAGATGGAATGACAATGTTATCCTCAAAGGTTATAGCAGTAAAACAAGTAGTGGTAGTAGTAGTAATAGTAGTAGTAGTTCCAGTATTAATAGCAGTAGAATAACTAGTAGTACTGTTAGTAGAATGTGAGTACTCATAAACCTCCTATCCTGAGGTTATAAGTGCATCAATGAAGGATACACCACATGATTTTTATTGCGGGAGTTCAGAGGCCGGTCACATGACGGCGGCCAATTTAAAATCTCCTTTCACTGCGTGCCGAATCCCAGAGGTCCGATTATTGTGTTTAGCCTCTTGTTTTCAACAACACGGACAATGCTCTTTTTGTGTGTCCTCGATCATTTTGTCTGAGAGCGACCTCCGTCAAATGACTTGGCTCTCGTGTCCTGCTTGATTAGTCCATGACTTGGCAGAGTGCTCGGTCCCCCTCTCGTTATATTTACGTGGACAAAAATAACGAATGAAGGCTTAAGTATAATATTTA